GGCGGGTCGTGCTGCCGGCTGTCAGCTAGCTTTGCGCCACCGCCCGATGGCGCGAGGAGGCGCGCGGGACCAGCCGTGGGGGGCCGGCCGCGAGTGAGCCCCTCTGCCTGTCGTCCGAGAGCATGTCACCTCCAGCGTCCGCGTCAGCCTTCGCCTGCAGCACCCGCGTCCCCGCCTCCTGCAGCCGCAGTCGCAGCCGCTGCCTTGGGCATTGGCCTCCTGACCCCCTCCCCTGCTCCCCCCGACCCTAGCGCCAGGGGACCATGGCTGGCCAGGGCGACTGCTGCGTCAAGGTGGCCGTCAGGTAGGGCCCACGGCAGGGAAGGGGGGCTCGCGCCGAGGGGGCTCGGGCTTTGTCTCGCGTGGGCTCCGGGCCGGGGGCGCTGGTAACGCTCGCGCAGGAGCCCGCAGTTGGGGAGGAGGGGCCGGGTCGGCGTGGGCCGGGCGGAGGGCGCTGCGCACTGGCCCGGCTGCCGCAGGGGAGCGGCGGCCCAGAGGATTGCTGGAAGGTGGCTTTGTTTGGGTGGTAATTTCGGGCCCCTCTTGGGAGCTCTTAATGATCAGAAAATCGAATAAACAAGGAAATCCGGTATTTCACACCCAGCCCTGGCCCAGGCCGGAGCGTCTGTGTGTTTCCTCTTCGCCTCCCCACAAGGCTGCTGTCTCATACCGGGCTATGGGAGAACAAAAATGTTTCCCCTCATCTACGCTAATCAGCTAGGGCTGTGCTCTTGGTCCAGCAAGCCGACACTGCACACCATCCCGAGAGCAGTTCTGCCGACAAATATCGGTTGTGGGACTCATGGAGGGACTGGATCGGTGCCTTGGCCTTCTGTATGGAGCAAGTGGCTTGAGGGGAGAACCCTGCTGATTCTGGAGATGGGGCGAGGCGTGAGAGGGCAGAGGCTTGAGGCTGATGCCCAACCAGGGGCACTCAGGTGAAACTGAGCGGAGGAGGGCTGTATATATTTATCTGGGGCGCCACTGCCAATAACTCTGGGATTTGAAGCCATCTCCTGACAGATATCAGGCAGGGAGAGGATGGGCCTGGGTGGGTTCTGTTGGGAGGGGCACACAGAGGTGCAGAGCAGGAAATACTGCAAAGTTGAACCATCTGTGTTCTTTGTGCTGGGTGGAGACGCTGTATACCACATCACCTCTCCCTGTTTTTATCTGGGGCTTTCTCTTTCAGAGGGTATATTGGGAGAATACTGGTCTAGCACTGATCACCAAGACAAGGATGTGGAGAGCAACATTCATCTCTGCCCCAGCTTTGTATGCTGGGGGAGGGGGCATGTTCCAGATCTAGGGTGGGTCTCCAAGACACGCCTCTGGGTCCCCTGTATTAGAAGTGACCCAGATTTCAGGGATCCTGGGAAGTTGCTTCTACACAGGGTCAGAGATGGCACTGGAAAATCTTTCATCTTTGTGTCCCAGGAAAGATGCCCCCCCCCACTACCTGGCCAGTCCTCTGCAGCCCAGAGGAGGCAGTGATGCTGATCACATCTCTGGGGTTGAGGGAAGGAGGTAGAGGACCTGGGTCCCTGCACCCGAGGCGGCACTCAGAGCACCACTTGAGCAGTAGCCTTCCTGGCCCTGAGCAGCCTGAAACAAAGAGGAGCCTGCAGGTGCCTGGTGGGCTGGCCGGGGCGGGGCTAGGCTGCTGCTGGGGCTGACATTGCCGCAGGAGCCCTTGGAGGTCGAGGGAGGGAGGTGCAGGCTGAGGGGTGGGAGTGCGAAATGTAAATATGGCATCTGCAGCAGATGGGGAGAGACCGATCACCATAAAAGGGAAATGAAGCTCTAACCCCTACCCAGTGTGAACCAGGGCTGGGAAGGAAGGGGCTGGGGTGCCCCTCCTCAGGGGCTTTCCTTTAGACTCCATCTTGTAGGAGAGAGCCAAACAAAGGCCCTGTGCCTCTGCTCAGGATCCCAGGCTGGGCTGGGGCATGCATAGTAAGGTGAGGGTTTCCCACCTGGGGAACCTCAGGGGATGAGCACCTTGGTTTGAGGGGAACAAAAACGTGGCGTTCCCTTCCCATTTCCACCACCAGAAGGTCCCTGGCACCCTCTTCCCAGAGAAAGGATTGTGCTTGCCCTCTGTACACAGTCCCAAAGGGGGTCTTCCCAGTTAGACTGCCCTACGTGGGACCCAGGCAGCCTCACTCCTTGTCTGGAGTTGCTGGTCTGGATGGAGGCATACAGGGAATTGAGCATCACAAGAGCCAGGTAATTGGGGGCTTCAGGAAAGTGCCCCCCCATCCAGCTCCTCTCCACTGGCTCCAGCTCTGTGGTTCCAGCTTGACAAGAGTGCCCAGCCTGGCACACGACAGACCTCAATGGGCAGCTGGCTATAGAAGGCAGACAATACCTGGACGGAGCCCAGTTTCTAATCAGAGAGCAAGGGCAGGATTAGGCTAGGGCTGGGGCTGGGACAGGGAGCAGATGGTACCAGCAATGTGCCCAAGGGGATTCTTGCTTTTGGATCTCCTTCTACCTCCCAGAAATCACTTGTCCTACCTAAAGGACTGGGTGTTGCACTGCAGTCAAGTAGAGCATGTATAGGAAAGGCCAAGGATTTGGAATTGCCTAGACCCATCCCAGCCCTAGGACTCACTCACGACCTCCTGCCAGGTTTTATTGTCTTTCTGACTTCCTGAAAGTCCTTTCTTGTCTCTAACTGAAGTGCTTTGTGAATTCCTATGAGAATAACTTGTGGTGAGCCCTGGAGTCCAGCAGTCCAGCTCTTTGCACAGAGACGCCAGTGGAAGACAGCTTGGGGCGTGTGTGTGTGTGTGTGTGTGTGTGTGTGTGTGTGTGTGTGTTTAGGAACAGAGGCCTGGTCTGTTTGACTAGGTGAAGTTGCAGGCCTGGGCTCGGGGATTGGGGTCTCTAATCTGGAACAAAGCTGGTGATTTATAAAATTCTGCTAAAAAGGCCTGGGCTCCAGGAGAGCCACAGGAAAGACATTTCAGGAGCTGGGGCTTCAAGGTTAGGGGGAAAGATGCAGGGGCATCCAGCCCCACCCCATGGCCTAGGTAGACTCAGGTCCACCTGCTTCTGAACCCAGGCTAGTCAGCTTTACACTGAGAGAATCCCAGGCCTGCCCCTCAGAGCTGCCCTGTGATCCTTTTAGCCTTTAATCCCCTTGTACTATGACACCCAACTTCCTGGGCTAAACGAGGACTGGCTTCCACCTGGGGGCTGTGAGGATGTTCAGCAAAGCTGGAGAGAGGTGAGGCTGAGCTGTGGTCTGCCCTAGGCTGCAGAAATACAGACCTGACAAACAGGGGGAGAAGGGGGTCAACTGTTAAGAAACGAAAGTTGGCAAAGTTGAAATTGGGGAAGGAAGCCAAGTCACATGGTGAGTTTATTTAAGACCCTTTCAAGCCCCCAGTTCTGAGCCCCCACCATGAGGGAGCCCTTAGTGTGCTAACTCCTTGCTCCCTTATCTCTGCCCAGTTTCCCTAAGCTTCCTTCCTTCAGTCTGCTGGGGAGGGGGAGGTACCTTGGCCGGTCCCACATCCAACGTTGAGACTACAGGGCTGATGGGGTAGGGAGGGTATTGGGGTGAGCACCAGCCAGGGACCCCAGGGACACTGCTGAGCTGGACCCCTGCCCTCACTCATCTGGATTCTTTAGCTGCAGTTATTTCCTTAGTTCTGACTACTTTGAAATCTTGATCAATGACTATCTACATTTAGAACTGAGAGCACTGGGTGGTTGGGAGGGAGAGAGTGTGAGGGATGGAAGACACTAGGGGTGAATATGCAGGGTGTCTTCAGGGCCCCAAAGCCAGCCAGTGTCAGTCAATTCCAATCGTGTCTCATGCTGTCCAGTTTACAGATCTGGGAAACTGAGGCCTGGACAGGCCCTCATGTAGGCTGTGTGGAGACCTGAGAATCTTGGTGGTGGCCTTCTGTGGCAGAAATAGGCCTTATGTCATCACAAGGAAGTGGAGTGTAGTAACCACAGGCCCCGGAAACCTCCCTCCTCCACCACCCAGCCAGACAGTTTGATTGGGTCTCAGCTTTTGAAAACCTCAGAGTAGAGTTAGGGTGGGGCTTGAACTAGAGAAGTGACAGAGGTGACACATGCCTGGCACTCTTACCCTGATAGCTCTGAGAGCAAAGGGCAGGTCTGGAACCAGTGCGTTTCATCCACTGGATGGGTCAAGGGGCCCCTTCCTGGTTTGCCCTTTTCGGCCTCAGTTTTACCCACTGGAAAAGAGGAACATCTGGTACATTCTGATTTGTTCCTTGGTACACAGCAGTGGTTTGGATGAAGTAGAAGGAATAAAACCCTTGGAGGGAACAAACTGCAGGTGGCCTCCTAAGCAGTCAAGTATCAATAAATTGTTTAAAAAATAAGCCCAGACTTCAGCATACCTAAGAGATATCTCTCTAAGTAATGGTGAACTATTTGGTAAATTGAATTCACCTCCAGCCCATTTATTTATTTAGAGCAGAAAGCATCCTGTGGTGGAAAGGAGACTGAACCAGGAAGCAACTAAGCACTATGATTTCTTGAATGCTTAGCCTGTGGTGGCCGCTGTGCCGGCATTATCTCCTTAGACTGATGTTACTCCCATTGTGTACATCAGCAGTCTGCAGATGCGAGAGGCTGGATCTGGTCTCAGCTCAGATCAGGGCTCTCGGACTCCTGTAAGCTGCCTCCCAATCCAGCTGCAAAGTGGCTGAGTGCTGTGGTCTCTACTTCAGTTTCTTCCAGTGCTGTATTACTGCACACAGTCACTGGGAACAGGAAGGCGGCATAGGTGCACGGTGCTGTGCAGGTGTGTAGTGAGGGGTAAGCAGGCCACATTTGCCTTTTGGGGCTGCTTGGCATAGCGATGCCTGTCACCACTGTGGCCCTAGCTCCTAAATCCTTGCTGTTCTTTTGTGTTTGGGGAGCTTCTGCCTCCGCATTTCTTCTGTTCTTAGATCACCGCAGCTGTCTCCTGCCTGAATTCCACTTTGGCACTCGGGAAGGAAGTTGAGGGCAGCCTTGACTCCCCCTGGTGCCCCCAGTTTCCCAGCCTCTCATTTTGCCCTCGAGACAGCAGCATGTTGAGAAGACTAAGGAGGAAAGCCACATCCCCTTGCTCTTCCCTCTCAGAACAGCTGGAAGGGACCCCCAGAGGGTGCTAGGCTGGAGAGGAGAGGTTGCTGCCCTGCCAGGAGAGGGGAGCTGGGCTGGGACCAGGCTGTCTGCACCCCTCCAAATTAGCTGTTCATCCAGCCTGTGTCAAAGGGAAAGGACAGAGCTCTACAGGAGGGCTGGGAAGCCCCAGGCCAGGTGGCT